CGTTATGGAGTTTGCTTCCAATATGGCAAGACTAGCCATTTGGACAAGATACTGCTCTTGTCTGGACTGTTTGACTTTATGCTGTATAAACTGGACATGCAGGGCCCACAGAAAAGTGACTGCTGATTCAAGATGGACATTGCTACAGAGTTCCTGCTTCTTGGAAGAGTCTGCCAGACAGTCTGCAGGACACAGAGGAAAGTGACTGACAAACTGCCAACACAAGAAGACAGTTTAAAGTTTCCTGCTTTGCTGAAGAATCTGCCAGACACACTATGGCCTATGGGCTGCAGATGGAAGATTACAAAAGAACTTCGGGTGACCAGGCAGTGAGTTGTCTCTGTCATTTCTAGAGTTTATATACTATCCTTCTGTGGTCTTTGAAGGAGTTGGAGACAGATAGTTATGGTTATAGTTTTCCTTAGGATTAAAGATAAGTTACATTAGGACTTTAGACTCACAGAGATAGAATAGATGATGGAATATTTTCTTAAATTTTGATAAATGTTAATGGACTAAATAATGTTAACTGTGATTCTTATTTGATAACTGTTATGTGATATAGTCTTCTATGTTAAAGTTAAAACCCTTCTTTTTATTTAGACAGAAAACAGGAGATGATGGGAGAGGTCATTCTGTATGTGTTTTTCATACTGGTTAATGAATAAAGCACTGTTGGCCAATAGGAAAGGAATATAGGAGACAAGGAGGAAATAGGAAGTAGGAAGGAGGAGCCAAGATGGAGAGTCGGGAGAAAGCAGTATGCCAGCCGGCTCCCCGGTAAGAGAAATGCATAGATCAGCAGAAATGGGTTAATAATTAAGACAGAGCTAGCCGATAAGCAACTAGTACCTGGCCAACAGAATTATATCTAATAGAGTCTCTGTGTGTTAATTGGGGCTGGTGGCGGGATAAGACCAGGCCGCGGGCAGAAAAACCGTACTCCTTACACATCCTCACTGCTAAAATGCTTTAGAGTGCCTTTGCTTCTTGAGCAACAAAATCACTGAGTCTACATTCTGGATACTGTTACAATGTGTGGACTGTACTGTTCTGCTTTCTCAAGAGCTGAGATCCTCAACATCAGGACCATGTAGCAGTTTCTAAAGTGAGGTCTAGGGACAGCAACTCTTTATTGTGGAGCCTGAAATCTTGTTGTCTATTCTCATTAGAAGTGGGAGGTTGATTGGGCTATGTATTTAGCTCCCCTGAGTCTCAATCTGAGAGAACTATGTAGCTGAAGATAATGTTGAACTTTTGATCCTCCTGCCTCAGTTTCCCATGCATGCACTACCATGCCCTGCTTGTAGAGTTTCCTGGGATCAACTGTATTGAAAAGAACTTTGTGAATTATAAGTTGTAAACTATACATAAGCACAAAGTATTAGTACATCTAGTCTTATTAAGGAGTAGCTGCCTTTATCTTGGTTTGGCTCTCCACAGATTCAGTTATCCATGATCCATGTCAATGAGTCAAAAAATATTAAATGGGAAAATCTCAGACATTGCAGTTTCTCAGTTATAGATTTCACACCATTCCAAGCCATGTAGTCAAATCTCAGGCCAAGCTGATCCATCCCTCTGGGATGCCAATCATCCCATTGTTAGCCACATAGTCGGACTGTTCAGGTATAGAGGTGCTTGTGTTCAAGGAACCCTTTTTATTAACAGTAGTTCCAAAGCACAAGAGTCATGAGCTGAAATTCAAGTTTGTCAATATAGAGCCACACAGTGCTTTCTTGTGATAAAGTCCAAGTTCTTGACTAATGAGGCAGGAAAAATGTATGCAGAGGTTGCTAAGATCTTTGTGAAGAACAAATATACCCAAAAACTGGGAGGAAGGAAGATAAAGTAGTACAAGTTTTACATTGTACCATACTATGTGATGAGGGTGCAGTAAGATGCAAAAGGCATTAAAGTAGGTCAATGCTGTGGCAGGCATCCACCAGGCATTCTGGAATAATCTTCAGATTAGATGGGACTACCATGTAGGAAAGATCATGCAGAATTAATGTTCAGGCACACTGGACCATTGTAAAAATAGGAAGTAGAAAACTAAGCATGGTGATGAACCCTTGTAACCCTGCAATTGGAAGACAGAGGCAGGAAGATCAGAAATTCAAGGCTAACACAAGACCCTGTTTCAAAACAAAACATACAAACAAAAAGTTAAAGTAAGCTAGGTGGCTAGTTGCTTACCACCATCCACCCTCTTCTTGATGCCACAGGACCCTCAGCTTCTGAAAGGGAAGAGCTGAGTGGGAGGGGGCAGAGGAAACATTTCTGGCCCCCATCCAAATGACAGCCTGAGGTCAGGCAGCCTTTCCCTGTGGAAGGTTAGGGTCTCACCTGTGATGGCTGTACCTTCCTGTCCTCCACATGCTGGGCAGACAGCAGGGAACTAGAGGAGGCCATAGGAAACAGTGGTCTCTGAGAAGCAAGGATAGTAAGAAAGAGAACTAAGGTGAGAATTCACAGTTCAAAGACAGGAGGGCAGAGAGGCACATAGTATTCGCTTTACCTGCTTAGAATGAGCAGAAGGCATGGAACAGGTTTTGTTTTGTTTTGTTTTTGTTTTTGAGATGGGGTTTCATGTTAACCCAAGCTGGTCCTGAACTTGCTACACAGTTGAAGATGATTTGAACTTTAAAAAATATTTTCAAAAATCACATTTATTTATTTATTGTGTGCACGCATTGCACATGCATGCATTCCTACAACAGAGCAGACATGGGGGGTCAGAGGACAGCTGCCAGATATATATAGTTCTTTGCTTCTACTGTGTGGGTCCTGGAGATGGAACTCAGGCTTGGCCTAAGTGAGCCATCTCACCGACCTGCCTTGGAACTTCTGATCCTCCTGCCGCCAACCCCCAAGTTCTGGGTGACAGGTGTGCACTACCATACTCTTCATGTAGCACTGGGAGCCAGCTTAGATTTGTGCATGCTAGGAAGCACTCCACCAACTTGGCCACCTCCAGCTCCAGACACTGCTGGCCACAAGCATTGCACTCATCTGTGACACTCTGAGAAAATGGAACCAAATGAATTTTGGCTTTGAATTCTTTCCGACAGCTTTGAGTCCATTAAAAATACAGTAAATGTCAGTGAGAAGTTGCCACAGCATATTGTTTTGCCAAGAGAAAAATTTGTTAAATCAGTATAAACACTGTAAAATTCCCCACAAAATCATTTCACAGATTTAGTTTCCTCTAAGGAAGAAACTAGATTTATTTATTTATTGTGGGGGAGGGGTGTGTATGTATGCCATGGTACCCTGGTGGAGGTCAGATGACAGCTTGAAGGAGTTGGCTTTTCCTTCCATCATGTAGTTCCTGGGTATCAATCTCATGTTGCTAGGCTTATCAGCAAGTGTCTATACCCATTAAGTCATCTTGCCAGTCCATAGTGACTTATTTTCCACTTATTGTCATATAGAGCATGAAATGCTTTAGGAAAAAAATCATGTACGTAAGGCATACACACACACACACACACACACACACACACACACACACAGAGAGAGAGAGAGAGAGAGAGAGAGAGAGAGAGAGAGAGAGAGAGAGAGAGAGAGAGATGCACCATACACATATACTCTCTTCCCTATGGCCAAGTCACCCTGAAGGGACCTGATATCATCTGTAAATACTATACTATGGTTTTCATCTTCTTTATTTCACATCTTGCTGGGACGTTTTTATTAGGGAAAGTCATTGTAGCTCTCTATTTTATTCTTACTATAAATCACATAACTACTGCCACAGTATCAAACAGAGGCCAATATCGTAACAGCGGCTACTTTTTGTGTTGAGTAAATGGTGATACATCAAGGTATTATTCTATTCATTTTGAGACAGGGTCTGGCTCAGGCTGGCTTTCAACTCCCCATGTAGCCCAGGCTGACCTCAAGCACATGGTCTTCCTGCCCCTACCTCTTTAGTGCTGGGTTCTAGGTGTGCATCACTACAGTAAACTATTCCAATTCTAATGTAGAAAAAAAAAACTGGATAGGGAGAAGAAAATTGGGACTTATAAGCATGACACCATGGCATCATATCTTACTTCATTCTATTCATAGACCAAGTGTAGAGGATGCATTTCTATCTGTATTTTACAGACAGGTTCAGAAAAATTAGATAATTTTGCTAAGACCTCAAACCCAACAAGGGGTAGAAATGGGGTGCATTCTCTCCTAGGCAATGGAGGGAAACAAGAAACAAATCACCTGGATTAAAAAGATGTGCTCAGGCATCATTTATTGGGGGGTCAAGAGCAGAGGAAGAGAGAAACTCAGGCTTGCTAACCTCCAAGGTGGGCCTCATCATACAGCACTGACTAATTGGGTTCATTTGGACATTTTCAAAGTTGAAGTAGATCAAAAGAGCCAGGTAATAGACAACATAGCACCTCTTACATACAAATAATCTCTTGTATATTGAAAAGATGATAGAAATTTAGAAAAAGGAGAAATAATAAATCTTTATTTTTGTGTGTTTGTTTTGTTGAGTTGGGGGTCTCACTATGTAGCCCTGACTGTCCTGGAACTTTCTCTGTTGACCAGGCTGGCCTCAAACTCACAGAGATCTGCCTGCCTCTGCCTGACACCACTGCCTGGCTAAGAATGAATCTTTGAGTCCTATCCTGGAGATGAGCATCAGAATGCACTGGGCAGTGACAGGGGATCACTGGCAGTGGGAGACATCTTTTCACCTTGGCTGTTACCATGCTGCAATCTTCAGGCACTCCAGGTGCTCCTCGGGTCGTTTCTGCTAACCAGACTCCAGATTTTATATTCAGGGACATCGGATATGCTACTCATGTTGTTTTTACTCTATTTGTGAGTTTTTCTAACATTATCAAGAACTACAAGCCGGTGAATCTCACAGATGGAGGAATGAATATTTTACTACAAAGTAATGCTTTACTCAACTTGAAAGGTTAACTTTAATTAAGACAGTGATAAAAGCTCTTACAGAAGGAGTGACAAATCTGCAAAATTACCTCCATTGCTGTGGGCCATTGTCAGAGCTTCCAGAGAAGTTGCTGGGCTGATTTCGAGTTGGCAGATCATCACTTTGGCACTGCTAATGACACTGGCTGCCTTCTTCAAGTCTTCAGTACTCAAAAGCAGATTTGCTCCAGCCACTATGACGATGATATTCTGGCCTATAAAGAAATTCTACATATTTGTACCAAACCAGGCCAAACCAAGCCAAGCCAACTCAAGCAGAGATATGCCGCACCTTACAGCAGTCTTCTGAAAGCATTATACAGAATGTGTTAGAAGAATTAGTCTTAACATTTCCAGGACATTTGGGTTTAGCTATTGTGTTACAAATTTATTTTTTGGCAATATTTCCATGAGATTCATAATATTCTGATTATTTTTCTTTTTAAAGGAGATAGGATCTTGCTATGTTTTCCAGGCTGGCCTTGAGCATCTAGGCTCAAGAGCTCCTCCTGTCTCACCTTCCCCAGCACATGGGACTATGGGCACATACTACCATACCTGACTTACTATGAGAACTCAATTATTTTACATGTATTTATTTTGTGAGTGTGTGTGCATGTGTGTGGGTGTATACCATGGGCATGTGTGTGAATGCATGTATACCATGAGTATGCACATGCAGGTCATAGGATTCAGTTCTTTCTCCTACCACATGGGTTTCAGGAACGGAAATCATGTCTCCAGAGGTCTGCCTGCTGAGCTCTCTCTTCAGCCTGAAGCTTATTTTCCTTACTAATATTTTTATATACAAAGAATAATAGTTGAGAAATGACACACACCTATGTTTACAATTTCTTTTATGTGAAATGACTAATACATGCATATTGTAAAGATTGTGGATTCTATATGAGGATACTATATAGATGACTATAGGTAGGAATAACCCTGTGAATACTCAAAACAAATGCTCTATTGTATATAAGCAGTTCATGTATGTGCCATGTTCTTCCAAAAAATGACCCTGTTATTTTAGACACATTTTTTATATTTATAAAGACAGAAAATGTGAGATATGTAATCTCTACCTTTATTTGGCCTGTACTATACAGGCTTTGATATATTCTCAGCACCTGAAATCACTCTCTATAAGCACCCTTATAAGCACCCACACGGGAGGGGTGGTGATGTTCCTTATCTGCAGCTAAATGGTGTGTGTGTGTGTATGTGTGTGTGCATGTGCGTGCATGCATGAGTGTGCATATGTGTACATGAGTGTGAATAAGTATGTAAGTATGTACCCACACAGGAGGGGTGGTGATGCTCCTTATCTGCAGCTAAATGGTGTGTGTGTGTATGTGTGTGTGTGTGTGTGCATGCTTGTGCATATGTGTACATGAGTGTGAATGAGTATGTACCCATACAGGAGGGGGTGGTGATGCTCCATATCTACAGCTAACTGGTGTGTGTGTGTGTATGCGTGAGTGTGCATATGTGTACATGAGTGTGCATGAGTATGTGAGGAGGACAGAGGAAAACACAGATGTTGTTCTTCACTAGTAATATTTTAAAAACAATATTTTCTTTTGAGACAGAATCTTTCACTGGCCTGGAGTTTGTCAAGTAGTCTAAGGCAGTGAGCCAGTAAGCCCCGGGGATCTTCCTGTTTCTGCTACCTCAGGGTTGGGATTGCAAGTGTGTGCTCTCATGCCCAACTATTTTTTTTTTTTATTCTTTTTCTTCTTCAATATGGGTTCTGGTAGTTGAACTTAGGTCTCCCAAAGTACTGTGGTGATTGAACTATCTCTTGCATCTGGAAAGAGGTGTGGGATCCAGCATTGGAGTCACAATAGTACATGTGGCTTTGACACTTGAAATATTGCTAGTCTGAATTGAGATACACTTTGAGTAGAAAGTATACAGTGGTTTCAAATTTAGTGCAAAGAACAAGAAGTAACACATCTCACTATTTTAAATGTATGTTTATTTATTTATTTATTTATTTATTTGTGTGTGTGTTGGGGGTATGTGTGTGCTATAGCACATATGTGGGAGGTGCCTTTCTCCTTCTACCATGTGGGTCTAGGGAACCAATTCACATTGGCAGGCTTGGCAGCAGCCATCTCTCCAGCCCCACTAATTTTTTAAAAAACACACTAAAAAGTTTTAATTTGAAAATAAATTAAACCACATGTTGGAATGATAACATTTTGGACAAATTTGGTCAACATATACATTGTTTAAATTAAATTTACCTGTTTCCCTTTTTCTTTTAAAAACATGATTCCCAGACAATTTAAAAACTGCTGTGGCTTGCCCTTTATTTCCACTGGACAGCACAGCTTTAAAGGAATGGGTTGTAGCAGGCACTTTTTAGTGCTGCAGGCTGCTCGTGCAGATCTTGTATAGACATGACCTAAAATTACCTCTCCGCACAGAACAAATCCTAGCCTATCGTCTTACCACATGTGTGTTTGTTGGCTATGAGGAAAACTTAATAAAGTGGGGATGCTTCTGCACAAACTCAACCTCAGTCCTGGAAAAATGCAACAAGCCTAGTTGCTGAAAGAGTGCATCTCTCCTTGCTTTCCCAGCGATGACCTCATTCTCTCTGCTGGAGTCAACTGTAGCATAACGTAATACGCATTTCTAGACGGGCTTTCGAGGCTGAACGACAGGTCCAAGAACAATACTGTCCACAGACAAAGACACGTGGCTAGTTCAATTATACCTTAAATTTAACTTGCCAAAATAACACTCATCACTTTGTCTGCCACTCTTTCTCCTTAATTTAAAGAGGCTGATTATTCCCTTTCTCTTTATTTATTATTATTTGTAGACAGTCTCACTCTGTAGCTTAGGCTGGCCTTGAGCTCCTTGTTAGCCTCCTGTGTGAGCTTCTGAGTGCTGGGATAACACTGTGTTGCTATGTCCTGCACAGTCTATATCCTAGGATATTACCTTACTATAAACAGGCTTACCATTATAGGCATTATTATATAATGTTAAATTTTGCATTGAAAATGAAGACTTTGGTTCACAGGAAAGGAGGAAAAACTAAAGTCATTCCTAGAACACAACATGAGGTTTAAGATCAGAAATAACTGGCTTTTGACAAACCATTACTGACAACGTAGCTTACTGTGATAAATGCCCTTTCTATGGTCAGAATGAAAAAGTGCACTGTAAGGGGCTAGAGATGAGGCTCCAGTTGGTTGAGTGCTAGCTTAGTGTTTGGTCCTTAGCACTGCATGAACTGGGCATGGATGAACTGGGCGTGGTGGAACATGCTTGTGATCACAGAAACTGAAAGATGTAGGCAAGAGGATCAGAAGTTCAAGGCCATCCTGAAACTCATGACACCTAGTCTCAAAGCAAACAAACAAAAACCAATCAACCAAACAAACCCCCAAAGAAACAAACTGCCTGAAATTCCAGCTCTCAGAAGGCTGGACAGGATGTTACTGAGTTTAAAGCTAGCCTAGGCTACAAATAACTCCTCTTGCAAAAGCATATATGTAGTCAATATATTAAGTGGAAAATTATTAAGTAATATATGGAAATACTGAAGGAACAGTTCCTAAAAGGAAAAACAACATGTTTCAAATTGCATGCTTTTTTGGGGTAGCATGATAAAATTTCATGCCATCTGATTCTGTCTCATTTGGGATGTTGGTCATCTCTTTGTCCAAGATATCATGTAGACACTGCCTGTGTATTTACTACCTACCAGGAAGTCACTTAAATAGCTATCTTGATGATCTGATGGACTGTTTAGATACCGTAGTTTTTGTGTTCATTGTAATCTCTACACAGTAGCCTAATGCCACAGCAGAATGCCGTCATTTACCTCACTCGATCTCATGTGGGTGCCATGTTATCTCACATCATCATAAGAAAGCTAAGTGCACTACAATACGATCTTTTGAGATAGATTACATTGATACAACATTTATTATACTATAATGTTACAAATATTCTACTTTATTATTACTATTGTAAATCTCTTAAGTCTGTAATTTATAAATTAAACTTTATCATAGGGATATACATACAAGAATAAAAAGACATATAGAGAGATAAGGACTACTGGCAGTCTTAAAATATATTTATCTATGGCAGTAGTTCTCAAACTGTGGATCATAACCCCTTTGGATTTCATATTAGATATTTATATTATAATTAATAATAGTAGCAAAATTAGTTATGAAGTAGCAATAAAATAATTTTATGGTGGGGGTCACCACAAAATTGCAGCATTAGGAAGGTCGAGAACCACTGCTCTATGGATAAGAAAGAACCACTGCATGAATCAAAAACCTTGTAACAGACCCCAACACAGCCCACAATGCACTAGGTTCTATCCTACACACCCCGGAGCTGCCTAGTCTTTCCAAATATCAACCTTAATTTAAAATAAAAACTTGATGCAGATATTTTTATACTTATGACAGTTGGTAGATTATGAAATCTCAACTTTAAAGTCATTACTATTTTTTTTGTTTGTTTTTGTTTATTCGAGACTGGGTCTCACGCTCTGGCTGTCTTGGAACTCTCTATGTAGACCAGGCTGGGTACAAACTCACAGAGATCTGCCATCACGTCCAGCTATAGTTACTGTTCTTAAAGATAAATGTTTTAACTATGGTAAAGCCGTATGGTAGAATTGTGTATGCTGACTTTTGAGGTTTGATTGCTGCTTAAAGAGCAGACAAAATTGAGTACAATGATAAGTTAGAAGTAATTACTTGCTGCCATTTGCTCAACAAATAATCTATATATATGATTCATCAATCTTTGTTTTACACCCATTTACATTTATTTACTTAGTGGAAATGACAGGTAAGTACTTGACTGTTTTGAGACACACACATATCTGTTCTGAGCTCCTGAGGAGGATAAAGGGAACATGACAGGATATATATCATATGTGGAGGCATCTTCATATATGTTTCACATACATCAGATGGGGTCTTCTTCAAATGATCAAGTTGGGGAATAAAACTTAAGGGAGTGTTTTTATTTGGATTGGAAAAGCCGCTCCTCAGGTCGTGGAGCAGTGGGTGTGATGTGAGGACTGAAGGACTAGGGTGCAATTGTTGCTTCCAATCTAGTTCTGGGACAAGCTGTCTGTTCCAGGCAGTGACACTCGCATGTGAAGCACATACCTTCATCATTGACAATTATAGAAGCAGCTCCTGTTGCAGCATCTCTAGTTTGATATGTAAATTCTACAAGAAAACGAAAATTACAATCACATAATGCAGGCTGGCATGGATAATTTATTTGAGCAATTTCAATGTGACACTAATTCTTGGAAACACTTTTTAACCTTTAACCATCTGGAATGAGTTAAAAAATAAGTAATTAGTGCTAATTTATACCCATCACCTATACAATGAGGAAACCCAGCATCTTTACAGTTAGTGGATCTTTTGCATTAGCAATGACCCATCACACTACCCACACTTACTACTCCTTAAAATTATTCACAGTTGTATACATATGCATTTTTTTAGAACAACATATTCCTTTTCTTCACTGTAAAAAAACATGACAGACTCGAGATAAAAAAACAAAAGGTTAAACATCTAAAATGAACTTCTTTGATTTTCTTTATTTTCATAAGTTTTGTATTTCATCATGAACTGTGGTCTGGCATAGAAATAAATGCTCACCAGGCAGTCAGTCTCTGGTGGCAGCAGAGAGCCCTGAATTGGGGGCAGAGGACCTGTAGTCTAGTCCTGGCCATAGCCCCGATTATCTGGGTACTCTTGGAAAAACCCTAGAGCTTTCCTCCCTGGTCTTTCTTTTTCTTCTGTGGTTTTGTTTCAGCTTGTCAGCCCTGTGATGGCCTTCAACTGTATTATTCAATGACTTCTCTTTAAACATCCATTATGAATAAAGCACCTGTTTTTTTCCTTGTTATTTGCCTTATGACAATTGGATGAAGATCTGTAATCTCTTGGGCTTTCATTCCTGTCTGGAGGAAAGTGTCCCATAAATCTTTTCTGGCCACCAGGGCAGGACCTAATCATCATATTTGGCTTTCAGTTCTCCCCATAACAAGATTACAGAAGAAAGTTATACATAATATGCCAGGTATGGTGGTGGCACATGTCTGTGGTCTTTGTACTCAGGAGGCTGAGGCAGGAGGATTGCCTTGATATGAGGCCAGTTTAGGCTACATAGTGAATACCAGGTGAGCCAAGGTTATATACCAAGACCCTTTCTCAAAACAGTTAAATCAAACGAAAATAAAGTAAAATTCCTAAAGAAAGCTATAAACACTGGACTGGAGAGATGACTCAGCAGTTAAGAAACTTATAAACATTAATTTTAAAAAAATGAAAATTTACCTGTAGAAATATGGTTTTGTTTTAAGTTTTCTATGTAATCATTGCCAAAAGAATCTTTGCCAACCTGTACAGAAGAAATGATGAAGATTAGATCCTTTACATTTAGTAAAATGTTACAATGTAGATTTTAGAATATTTAGCATTTTAAAAGGGCATATCTGCATGGCACTTCATAAGCACCAAGTAATTAGCCTTAATGTAAGATACTAGATTTGATTTAAGCCCAAAGGATGTTCTGTTCTGTAACCTGTTTTACTTACATTTCACTCAGTGCATGAAACATGTATGTCTGTGTACCACCTGTGTGCCTGTTGCCCAAGGGGACCAGAAGAAGGCTGCAGATCTCTTGGGACAGGAGTTAGAAATGGTTGTCAGCTTCCCTGTTGGTGTTGGGAATTGAACTTGGGTTCCCTGAGAGAGTAGCCAGTGCTCTTACTCCTGGGCAGCTCGCTGGCCCAGTAATCAGTTTATTGAAGACAAATCAGCTCAAGAGTTGCATACATGGCACAGGTAATGCTATGCTTTGTTGTTGCTGTTTGGTTTTTTTGAGACAGGATTTCCTGGAGTTTTGGAGCCTGTCCTGGAATTTGCTCTGTAGATCAGCCTGGCTTCAAACTCACAAAGATCACTATTTCACAAAGTTCCGCCTGCCTCTGCCTCCCAAATGCTGAAATCAAAGGCGTGTGCCACAACTGCCCAGCTTGTTTTTTGAAATCTGTCTTTTATAATTCTTCACCTTCAAACCCTGTATGCATTCATCATTCATTTATATTTCTGGACTTTCTTTTTACAAAGGTGGATGGGAAAAGCCCACAGGGCCTCATCTTACACAAAAAACTATAGGCAACTAGGGAGAATGGGAGAAGCAGTCTTTCCCAGGGATGGTCAGCTCTGAAAACATACAAGAAACAGTATACAAATTAAGCAGACTGTATTTATGAATTTATATACACACATATACATGTATGTAACAACAATGAAAAAAGGTCACGAATTTCAGAGAGCAAGGCAGATTATGGGAAGGTTTAGAAGGAGGAAAGGCAATATAAGTATATTATAATATCAACAAATTAAAGAAATAGTTAAAATAAGCTTGAGATCTGCACACGACAGAGCATGCTGAGACCTCAGCAGGTGGAAGCAGGAGGAAGGACAAATTCAAGGACTTCCTGGGTTACCTACCAAGACCTACTTATCTTCCCTCCCTCCAGGGTTACAGAAGCAAACACTTCCTAATCCTGTTTCTTTGTTTCTGGCTCAAACCGAAGTTATTAGAAATTGCTAAGAAGTCACAGTAGACCCTTAGAAAGGGGTTTTGTTTGTCTCCTGCAACTGGGGGCTAAACGAACAAATGTACCCTGAAAATCACAGTGAATAATGCAATGGGCTCCTCACAAAGGAATCAGTTGATGGACCTAATAAAGACTATTACAAAAGAATATTGGGAGGCTTCTGTTTTCCACTCACACTTTGGCCATCAAATTGACAAGAAAAATTTAAATGTAAGCATCTTGGCCAGGAGGCAAATGGTGCATATGGGAGTCAGAGAACTTGGAGTCTTATTTCAGTGCTGCCATTATCAAGCTAATTAAAATTCTTTGCATTTTGCCTCAAATTGTTCCATCTGAGCCAGGCTGGAGGGGGGAACTGGTGTGAGTTCTCTGGTAGGCAGCAAACCAATGGTTCTCAATGTTGGCTGCACATTAACACACCCCAAAGAATGTTAAACATCCTGATGGTCTGGTCATACTCCTAGTTAAACCACCCTCTGCAGGTGGGGCTGCACCAGGAGGTGACTACAGGGTGTGGTCCAAGTGGAAGACCACTGGATTACAGGGCTGGGAGGGTACTTAGAGCCCCGTGTGTGCCAAAGAGATGGAAATGAGTGCTGAAGAAACGGTACAGTCCCGGGCTTGCTCTGTAGGCAGATTAGTGGAGATGGGGCAGCATGGCCTGCAGAATGTGTGTAGGTAACCAGGCTGGACAGTACAGCAGCAGGGATTTCTCTGGCTTGTGTTTGCTGAACCTTCTCAGTTTGTCACCCTTGGTTTTTCGTTTTTTTTTCTTTTTGTTTGTTTTTGTTTCTATTTTTCTAAAACTCATATTTGATCACAATAATTAGGTTTTATTTTATTTTTGGAGTTGTGATTGGGACCTTGTCACTGAATGCATTAGAACACAATGCACGTGCAATATGCTCATGTTTATTTCCGTGCCTTCACTTCTGAGAACTTAGGAGTCCATTCTTCTCTCCTCCACCTACTCAAACTGTACCTGTTTTTCAAGCACCAACTTACGTCTACCTTCCTTCTTTTGGCTCTCATTAATCCTCTCATTTCCAGAACTCCTACACAGCATTCCTGATCACTGCCATAATTCAATGCCATCTTACACAGTTTGCCACTCCATATTTGTCCATTGGGGCTCCCTAAAATTTGGAGATGCTAGCTTAACATATATTGGTCCTTTCCAAGGCCCTGAACGTGGCAGGGGTCTCATTAGTAATGCATCATCTCTGTTACTCTATAGTTCATTTTCTTGTACCTATCTTATTTATGAAGGGATGTGACCACTAGCACAGGAGTTTTCTGTTGTGGCTGTAGACAAGGCTTTGCAGGTCTCTTGTCTTGAAGGCACTCTTCTTGCAACTTCACATAATTTGAGGCGGTGTATCTGCAGCCTGTTGCAGATGAAAGCAGGCAGTCAAGGGCAGCTTTGACAAAGATTTAAGTCACAGGACCCAATAATCTTGCATAGAAAGGATCTTCTGGTTATGAAGGTGTTCTTGTACACTGCTGTTCAAACTCTTTTACATGGAGCCCCCCAATTACTGTTTATAACAATGTATAAAATACAAAAACTATGCACCAAAAGCAAAAAAAGGTATCATAAGATACACAGCTTCATTTATTACTGCTGTTAAATCCAGGTGCTGTAAAAATCTAGCATCAAGTTGTTATAAATCATTCTGTTTACTTCTGGTTTCTATACTGTCTAGACCAAGGACAAGTTGAGCATAGCACTGGCCTGAGGACAGGCTTTTGGGTTGCACTGTCCTAACCTACTATGCCCTTTGTCACTGCACTTCCTGTCTGGTCTTTCTGAAGGGAACCAGGTGCTCCCTGTGTTAGAAATGAGACAGTTTTACCTTTGTAGGAAGCAAAACCGTACAATTTCTTCAGCTCACCCTAGTGTGCTGGTTCCTGGGTTGGCCACTGGAGTCCGTATCTGCTTGTGGTTTCTTTACATCTGCACAGAAAGCAGCTCGGGCTCACACTGGGCCCCTGTACCATGAGTTTTTTTTTTTTTTTAAAAACATGGTTCTTGTCAGTGTTTGATGTTTTTTCTTTGTGGGTGTTTGTGTGTGTGAGGGTATACACATGTATGCGTGTTTGCACGTGTGTGTGTGTGTGTGTGTGTGTGTGTGTGTGCGTGCATGTGAAGGCCAGAGGTCAACTTCAGGTCATCCCTTTGGAACACTATCGATGTTGTTTGAGGCAGTGTCTCTTAATGGCCTGGAACTTTGCAATTTAGCTAGGCTAGCTGGCTAGTGAGCCCCTTGGCTCCTGCTGTCTTGGCCTTGGCCTCTCTAGTGCTGGGATGTACATCAGAATGCCTGTTGTTTTGTTTGTTTGTTTGTTTTGTTTTTCCTTGTTTTTAATAAACACAGGTTCTATGTATTGAGATGATCCCATGTCTGTCACACTGCACCATGTCTCAGTACTGCACAGGGTGTCCATATGCGGCTAGGGCAGCTTCACACTTGTACTGGTCCTTCTGCCTTAGCTTCCAGAGTGCTGGGATTGCAGGCATTCCACAGTGTTTGAAGCTTAGAAACAACTTCTTCCCCTTAACCATTTGGCTTCAATGGACTAGAAGTGGAGGAAATATTTACACAAATCAGGCAAAGTCTATGAGAGAGCTCCCGGCAGGCTCTTTGCCTTGGGATGAAGACTTTCATTTTCAAATTCACCATCTCCAGTTATCGCTGGACTCTTGCCTCAATACATGACTCAGCTGAACACCAAATACACGACTCTTTAGTGCTCAGAGACCTCACTATGTGATTGTTACTGTATGAATATGGATGTAACTCTTGCTTAGTGTTTTTGTCACAATTATCTTAACACATAATTCTCCTTCCTGGTCTTTCCTGTGCCACCAGTCTTTGAAGCACAGCCTAACATCTAGTGTGTTGTAACACAGTAGTACCTAAGTTAATGTCGCCTAGAGAACGACAGGGGTTTCTCTATCAGTTTTTCTTTTGTTCCATCTGTTCATTTTTGTCCTGGTTAATGTAATGATTTGGGTTTTGATTTGGAATTTGTCATCTTTAAAAAACTTCTATAAACAAGTGTGCTAATTTGCCTAACAAACATATACTGCCAGTTGTGTGTGCTACTGCACACCTGTAACCCCAGCCTTAGAGAGGGAAGGTAGGAATAGTTGTGGGATTTCTATACTATAGAGCAAGTTCAAGGCCAGCGTAGGCATAAAAAACCCTGTCTCACACAACCAAAAAGAAAACAACAACAACAACAATAACAACACAATACTGCACAGAGGAAAACTATAATGATAATGGATAACTTTCACTATAAAAGTATTAATCCCAGCACTTGGGAGGCATAGACTGGTAAATCTCTATGAGTTCAAGGCCAGCCTGGTCTACATAGTGAGTTCCAGGACAGTCAGGGCTACACAGAGAAATCCTGTCTTGAACCCTCCCCCCCCCCCAAAAAAAAAAAAGAATTCTAAGAGGCACACACCTATAATGCCAGCAGTCAGGAGACTGAGGCAGGATGGTTAGGGTTTGGAGGCTAATATGGGCTACAAAGAGAAACTCTTTATTAATCAATTAATGAAAAAGGTTTCATCCTAGGGCTGAAGTTCAGTTAGCATTTTTAAGACTATTCCTTCCTCAACACCAAAAAATAAAAAAATAAAATTAAGTAAGTAAATAAATAAAACAAGACTAAATACCATGCAGCTTTCTTAATAGAAGTATTTAAATAAATTCCCACCTCAGTGTCCCAAGGCACAAAACTAAAATTACCCTGGTGGGATTTGCTTGACACTGGTTTTCTTGTGTTCCACTGTGTACATGCCTAGACTAAATTATGTGGAGCAAACATGGGTTGACTAAAAGAGCATGGAAGATGTGCTCCGGTGTTGGCAGGAGCCACTGCACACAGACCAGAGTGAACCAGACAGCCCCTCTGCTTCAGCTGCCCTCCCACCTGGAGCACAGCTCCCTGCCTGCCCCTCTCACCTCTCCTCACATGCTGTCACAGTTCACTGCTCATGTTTAGTTCAACAACTCCAATATTTCTAATTTGTTTTTCTAGCTTTGCCTCAAATCCCGCAGACCTAAAATAAAACCAATCTCAAAATCCTAGCGTAGGATGAGATTCCAGGGCACATGGGATCTTGCCTTTCATGATAACACCAATAGTTTACACAAAGCTTCCAAGAGGGGAGGTGCTCTGTGTCTCTTACACTCCCAGGCCCAGGGAAACCCCTTGTCCCAGGACAGCCGCTTTGGATGCCTAGTTTCCCATATTAATTCTGTGTTCAACTTTTTCCAGCCAGGAAATCACAGGTTCTTCCCAGTTCCCAAGTCTCCCTTTGTGAGCATCACTGGGTCATTACCTACATCTCATCTAATCAAGGATGGCATAAGTCAGGTGTCAAGATTTTTGGGGGGAGGGGTCAGGCCTCTCTTGCGTGCCAGTATTTCTGTAATATAATTAGTTCTTGATTACCTGAATTGCTGTTTTATATCTCCAATCTTAACAACAGAAGGGTTCCTATTTGGAACTTTGTATTTCCTATGATGTTTCTGACCAAATAGCCACGAGAATGATATGTTGGTCATAAATCAGAAATCAAGCTACAGTCCATTAGAAGATGAAGGGATAATTGCCTAGCTTACACATCACTCAAAGGCTCCCATGGAGAGGAGAGCGCAATGTATAAGTGGAAATGACATTTCTGCAGACAGTTTTGTAAGATCAAGAGACAGCTTTTCTCAGGGTTTTGTGCTTTTCTTATTATCTGCTGTGCGCACTTAAACCCAACTTTCCCTGTCCTTAAACTCACATAATTTCAATTTCTTATAATAGCAATGTTACCACCTTCAATGACACAAAATATATAAAATTTGAAACTTCTGACAGCCAAATACAAGAATTTCCAAATTATTTCAACAGGATTACTGAATGTTACATAACCTTTCTTTATATCACTGAAAACAGGAAGTATGCCAAGGTATTTGTTATGTGTGGTCATTAAACCTACATCCCATCACATCATCCCACCCCCGTCTCGATATGGCAGTAGGAGATGGCTTAGTGATTAGTGGCTATGCTTCTAAGATCTGTGCTACTGCAGTGATGCTTGCTCGAAACAGAAAGGACTGTTTCTACAGGTGGACTGGGCATGCTCTGGTCATAAGCTCAGTGTATTCAGGGACTGCAGCATCATGTCATTTGAGCTGCTTCCCAGAGGATTCATCCAAACAAACTTTCAAAAGAATTAAAAATGGGCACTCAAACAAGTACATGTGTATGCAAGCATGGGCACAGGCTATTCTGAAATAGTCAGGGAGTGGAAGCAGTCCAGGCGTCTCACTGTACTCAGTGATGGAATGTGATACAATGGGTACCATTTGGCCATTATACAGGATGTAATGCTGACATTCTAGGAAATGGAGAAACCTCAAAAATAATGGAGGAAGCCAGAAGTAAAAGTCATATTATACAGTTCATATATGTAAAGTATTCAGAATAGATAGGTTCATAGAGACAGAATGTAGATTATAGAGGTCCCAGGGTTCCAGGTGGAGGAGGAAATGGGAAGAAATTGCTAGGACAAGAGATTTTCTTTTGGAATGATCATGTCCTGTAATAGGCTAGAGGTGGTAGTTGCAAAACATTGCAGCTTACTAAGTATTACTGAACTTAATATTTCTTTAGACAGGGCCTTACTGTGTAGCTCAGGCTGGCCCTGAACTTACAATTACTCTTCTGCTTCATGAGTGGCTGGTATCACAGGCCTGCACCACTTTTCCCAGTGAAGTGTTCATTATATAATGGTAAAGGATGAAGTTAACAATGAGCTTGAACCAGCCCCCACTTGGCCCCTCCCCTATGTTTCATACTTACCTTGCACACTATGGATGCCTTCGCTCCAAGCCGAGCAGCTTGAACACACTGGTTGGCACCTTTTCCTCCAAAGCCAATGAAAAACTTATGTCCGTGGATGGTTTCTCCAGTTTTTGGCAAGCGAGAAGTAAGACTATTATAATTTAAAGAGAAGAAAACAAAGCATGTTAGTAACTGCAATCAGCGTAGAGGCCTTAGAGCCCTGAAAAGGTGATCCACGGGTTCTGATGACTCTTAGGGAGGTTGAGTTGCCAGGAAGATGGCCTTTCCTTTCGGTTTGCATCACAACAGACAGAGCCTATCTCTTCCAGAGAATTCCTCTCTTCTATCCATAGCCAAATGACAGCTGGTGTCTGACTGCATTAGGATTATTCACGAGATAGTCCCCTGGCTCACACCACACCAGAGCTTTATTCCCAGTGGGGCTCAGCAGGCAGGGTGAAAGTAATGTGTATGGGCTTCTCTGGCTCTTTCAGCAGAAGGTATACCATGATTCTAGTCAAGTATAGGACCTAAGCAGGAGAGGGAAGCAGTAATTTCCTATATTAAAACAATCCTACTTGTTTACTTGAGGGTGGGATGAGAGAAGACTTTGATTCTCCAACCTCTGTACCATGTCATTTCATGTACTATGTCAAAAAGAGCACATACTTAAAACAATGGGGCCAGAAGTGCTAAGTTTAGGCTTTAACTTTTATTATGGAACATATCAATGATATAAGAGTAGACCTCCCTTACCCTATTCACTCATCACTCAGAATCAATTATTATCAACTCTTAGATGATCTTGCTCATGTTTCCACTGACATCTTAAGAAGCTAAACATAATCTTCACCATAATCCATAAGCAAGCATGGTCTTCACCATGAATAAGAAGCTAAACATAATCCTCCTCATAATGGTATGACCAATGGTGACAGTATTATCTGAGGCAAAAATTACATGACATCTGTTCCAGGTCAATATTTTCATGACTTTAAAGACAAGATTTGAGGACACAGCACTTCTGAAGGATGGAAAGAAATGACTGACTTCCAAATGGTAGGAGTTCCAAACAGGGACAAGCGAAATGAGACCTTGTTGCTTGGCCAAAAGGGGTCAAGGATGGCAGATGGGACCAAAGAAATGAGTTAACTTTATATAGGGAAGAAAAGTCGAGTAAACTCAATGGAAAATCAGCTGAGAATCTAGGCTGTTTTAGGTGATTATAGGTTTATGATATACCTGAAATATTTACCATATTATATTAGAATAAATAGAGTGACACAACAATGCCAATTCCTCCAGGCCACTAACAGCCTGTTTACAGTGGGATAACATGAATTAATGCCAAAATGCACAATTGTTTCAGTAAAGACCAAGATCAACCCGTGAGCCTCTTGATGTGCTTCTAAAACCATCAATAAATCAGTCGAGACTATTCCATTCCCCAGCACTGAACTGTCAAATATGGTTGAGATTCAAGAGACTCACCAATAATTTGAAAACATCCCACTCCTCCTCTTTTCAATGCTATTTTTATCTCGGATTCTACATACATTTATAGCACTGATGGAAAAAAATACATCTAAAAGGTTCACTTCTGAAAAAGGTACTCAATCAAGAGAAAAATGGTTTTAATGTAATGTTATTATCCTGTCATTTAATTTAACGATGACAGTGATGATGAGATTTTGATTTGCATCAGAAATCTTAAACATTTTAGGGTGCTGTTATGAGCGGCAGCGGTGAGTAATTCATGTGACGGAGTAATGATGTGAATTCTTGGCTTATTGACTCGGCCACAAGCACCTCTCGTAAAACCTTAAAAAGAAGAATATCTAACATGGCTAAAATAGGTCTAATGACTTCATTAGCAAGACTACAGCTTGGAGAAACTTAAGATTTCTATTCTAGTTATACTTAGATCTGGGTCATGGGTCACCGCTTTGACTCAAGTGTCTCTTTTACTCTCAGCTGTGGGAAATAATGAGATCTCTACTGCTAGGTTATTATGGGATGTTTATGTACAGAGGGGAGAGGGATGAGCCATGGCAGCAGCATGTATGTGCATGTATGTGGGAGCAGATGGTTAGTCATTTCTTTAAAAGATTAAGTTTTAATTTCCATATGCACCAATGTTTTGCCTGTATATGTCTGTGTACCCTGTACATGCAGTGCCTGTGGAGGCCGGAAGAGACATCAGATCTCCAGGGACTGGAGTTTCAAACAATTGTGTGCTGTCATGTGGGTGCTGGGAATTGAACCCTGGTCCTCTGGAAGAACAACCAGTGCTCTTAACCACAGAAACATCTCTCTAGCCTCCTTAGAGTCATTTCTCATATCAACACAAGGTGTAGATATTAGCATGTGTGGAATTAATTCACCAATCATTGAAACTTCATGTCTTTGGCATTTTCTTGTTTTCTTTGTTTTCCATCTTCCCTATGCCCTTAGCACTTTCTTTCTCCAGTTGTTAACGGTCCCTGTGTGGGGACAGAGTACAGGTCTGCTGTGTTCTTCACTGCACCCAAAGTGGCTGCCATTTAACAGAAGGGTAAGAGGTACTCACTTTGTCTCTTGTCTATGTCTCCTCTGTGCTGCATCCACTTTGCTTCTGAATTGGGGATGGAAATGGAAACTGGCGGCCATGGTTATACAACTGCCTAACAACAATCCCATGTGCTACCTTTTCTTGCCTACTATACTCCAAACTTTAGCAGGATTCTTTTCTTTCTTTTTCCCTACTCATCCCTCCTCCTCTTTAAGACAGTCTCACTTAGCCCAGGCTAGCTTTGAACTCATGCTGTGGCTGAGGCTGGCCTTGAACTCCTGGGCTTCCTGCCTCTATCTCCCAAGTGATAGTTACAGGTATATGCCTCCATGCCTCACTTAGGACCAGTCTTCCTTCCTCCTTCCCTTCCTTCCCCCTCCCTTCCTTTTATCTTACTTTTTAAAAAGATTTATTTTCACTTTTAAGTTTTATATATATTTGTAGGCTAATGCCCTCAAAGGCCAGAAGAGGCTATCAGATCCCCCAGAGCTGGAGTTACAGGTAGTTGAGAGCTGCCAGATTGAGTGTCAGGACAACCTCTGGCCTTCTGAAAGGGTAGCAAGTTTTCTCAGCCTCAGGCCATCTCTTCAGCCTCCACAATTCCTCTTTAAGCATGAATTTTAACTATAGAACACATAATTGCTTATTCATTCATGCACCAATTAAGTAAGCACCGATTTAGTGATTCTTGATGTACGGCAGTATCATTTTGCTGACAAGGGGATAAAGTCAAGCCTGATACAAGTGGTAGACAAGTGACATATTACGGATCAATAACCCTATGATCTGACAGAGCTTGGTGGGAGAGCACTTCCTTAGTATGTGTGAAGCCCTGGGTTCAATACCTAGAGCCTAAAAAACACTCACCATGCCTTTTAAAGACAAAAAGAATACTGCTTTCTCTTCAGACTGTATAAGACTTTCGCCTTTTAAAGAGAAAAAGATGTGTGCAGGTGTGCACTGCTAAAGACAAGTATGCATTCTGGGAAATGAATAGTTGTGTTGTTTGTCAAATATCAGCGTACACTAACCGAGATGGCTGTGTCATTAGATGATGGAGCATAGTATAAGACTACTATCACACACATGGTCCATGGTTGACAGCAACAGCTTCATGCACTATGTGACTGTCTAGACTGCATAGGAGAGAGCAAGACAATGACTTTGTAACAGGCACCCACAGAGAAGGGTGGGGAGCAAAAATTCTATGTTCCGCTTGTTTCTGGTTTCAGTACAGAGTTGAGTCCAAGGCCTCACATATGCTAGGCAAGTGTTCTTCAAGATTCATACTCAGTCCGAGGACATTATATACTCCAGGTAGCCCTTGAGTTTTCCTGCTTTCGCTGCTCAAGTAGCTGTGGGTATAGGCCTGTCCGTCGTGTTTTATGCTAGTACTTATGTACCTCAGTATTTCTGTATCATGGTGTACCACTTGTCACTACTTCAGATTCATTTGTCTTTTTTGGCTTATTTCCTTTTTTTTTTTTTTTTTTTTAATTCTTTTTTTTTTTTTTTTTTTTTTTATATTTATTTTTTTTTTTTTTTTTTTTTTGAGACAGAGTTTCTTTGTGTAGCTTTGGAGCCTGTCCTGAAACTTGCTCTGTAGACCAGGCTAACCTCAAACTCACAGAGATCTACTTGCCTCTGCCTCCAGAGTTTTGTGACTAAAGGCCTGCACCACCGCCTTATTTCCTAGCTTCCTAGTCTTTGTGGGTAGCAACTGGCTTCTTGTAGATACAGACAAATGGCACCTTGCAGGGGTCAGTTCTCTCTTTGCAGTATGTGGGTCCTGAGGATTGAATTCAGGGAGTCAGGGTTAGCACCTTTCCCAATGAGTTATCTCATACCCACCATTATCTTTGGGCTCTTCCTTCCCTGCTTTGATTCTCGTACCCCTGCCCTTGGTTTCTCTGTTGAGGGGGACCCTGCATGTATCCAGGCAGGGAAGCAAACTACAAAGGAGTGACAATTAAAACATGGTTCAGACTGACTTGGGGAGTCTGATGCCAAGCGGTTCATTGCCAGCATATTCATAGCACACGGTGGGTGAGGTCTGTGTCTATAGCACCTGGTGGGTGAGGTCTGTGTCTATAGCACACGGTGGGTGAGGCCTGCTCCCACAGATTGCAAAAAGGTCACCAGGTTGTCAACAATATGCCTTCTGGGACAGGAAACATAATTAATTCTTCCTATGAGGATATGTCCCTGTGTGATTAACACTCCTGGTTCCCTAGTGTTCTGTGGGTACAAGGACTTTTGTGCTCACCTTCCCCCTCCCCTATCATATTGCTGAATAGAGTATGTGTTGTTTTTGAGACAGGGTTACTCTGTGTAGCCCTGGCTGTCCTGGAACTCACTCTGTAGACTAGGTTGGCCTCGAACTCACAGAGATCCACCTGCCTCTGCTGCCCAGGTGCTGGAATTAAAGGGGTGTGCCACCACTGCCTGGCTGAGTGTGTTCTTAAACCTTTGTCTTGTTCTCTACTCCTATTTAATCCAGGATGAGATAGTTTACTGTGTAAAGAGAAAAGAGGAGAAACTTCAACATTTGTTACAAACGGAAGTATTCACGAACTATAAATCCTACTTTACTCTGAATT